TCTTTTAAGCATTTTTGTAGGTCGCCTCATGGTCGAACAGTGGTTAGTACGGTTGCCTCACAGTAAGGTCAGTTGGTCAGTTCCACCATCCAGCCAGGGTCTGTCGAGTATGCATGTTCTCTCCAGGTACTCTGGGTTCCTCCCAAAGTCCAAAGATGATGATTCTAAATGGTTCCCTGTCTCTATGTGTTAGCCGTGTGACAGATTGGTGACCTGTCCAGGGTGTACCTTGCCACTTGCCCTAAGACAGCTGGGAGAGGCTCCAGCTCCCCTGTGACCCTGATTTGGATAAGTGGAAGAGAATGGATGTTGACAACAGGCAGAGACACAGAATACAGCAGCATCAACCTTTAAATTCTGGCAGCTGTATCCTAACACACACAACATTTTACTTCACCTTGAGACTAACTTTAAATAGTCTGTTTCACACTTGTCTCCATGACGATTTTATTGCCAGTGTAAAACTGCAGAACCGACAAGCCCATCATGGTTCTTTAAAGCTCCTTTGTTGCACCACATCCCTCCACCTTGTGGCACTGTGAGTCTTTGGTCACAACAGTGACACAGAGTGGAGCCCTGCAGTTCTCAGTAACACAGGATGGCTGCATGGGGACAGTGACACTGTTGAACAACTCACCTTACTCCAACAGATATCGATATCAAGTCACACCTACTCGGATAGCAGCGAGTGGTGTTTAATGCTCTATCTATATTAGAATTACATGAAGTTAGATTGATAACACTGATCATTTCAGCTTGTTGGTTCTTTTCTCTCCCTTTCTAAACTTTGTTTCAGAGATCACACCATTGTAGTTAATGGATTTTAGATTTTGGGCTTCCATGTAAACTGCTGGGAATATCTTTTTATATTTAGCTGTCAACTGGGCTGTCGATAGGTGAGTTAAGTATATTATGCTATGTTTTAGTATCATAATTTCTCACTGGAGTTTCATATATCTGTATTCTGCACAGAATGTCCTCTCTCTTTTTTCCCTCTCACCCTTTTCTCTTTATTATATCAGTATCAAAATCCTAACTGGCCTTCTTTTGCTTGATTATTTGGTTTAGCAGAGATACACGTATTTTTACTTTAAATGCTTCCCCTTTCCTGCCTCAGAAATCATGGCCCAGCCTTTACTGTGACACTGGCCGACTCCATCTTGTGTGGGCAGCGTCTGCACCGCGTGTCATTTCATTTCCACATCCTAATGACCTGCTTTTAGTCCTTGACTGTAGAGATTTGCTCCCGTGGACTGTGTCCTAAACTCGTGCCTAGTTGACCTGCCCTCAACTCCAGGGATTAACCTTCACAAGAGAAGGGCTCAAAGTGAGAAAAGAGTCTTTCCATCCACTTATTCTTTGCCATCTATTGCATCCAAGAAGGCACGAGTTCAAACAACCTTCAAATGGCCGAGCTAAAAATAACAGAAAACGGTTAGCAGTCGTCTCGCCTTGAATAAAAAAGGTGTGGTGATTTCTGCTTCATTCTGACACAAAGAAAAGACATTAAACTTACTTAAATGTAAATAATCTGTCTTGTATTGGGTCGATATAATATAACAAATGCATAAACTTGTTAGGCAGTACGTAGGACATCGACATCTAGTCACAGATGATATGTGTTTCTAAAATCTATTTGTGGCAATTAAAAAGAAAATCTCACCTATTTCACATTCAGCAGAGGTCAAAATAATGTGATAGATACTTAAATCACTAAAGCCAACAAACAAAGAGGTCTGAGAGTCATCTGCATTGCAGCAGAGTGTATTATTATGCTGATGAATTATGTATCCCAGAAAAAGCATTGAAACAGGGAAAATGTGGCCTGTAGATATAACAAATCTTTAGATTTTAAACGAGCAAAATATGTTTTCCATCTTGAATGCATTTTCTTCATGCTGTTATCCAAGTCAGTTTTTCAAATATTATATTTTGTATTACATTTTTTTCACAATATATACACTCAACAAAAATATAAACGCAACACCTTTGTTACTGCTCCCATTCCCCATGGGATGGACGTAGAGACCTAAAATTCATTCCAGATACACAATATAACCATCCCTCCCAAACAGTGGTCACAAATCAGTCCAAATGTGTGGTAGTGGGCACATCTGCTATATTGAGATAATCCATCCCACCTCACAGGTGTGCCACATCAGGATGCTGATCTGACATCATGAGTAGTGCACAGGTGTACCTCAGACAGCCCACAACAAAAGGCCACCCTGGAATGTGCAGTTTTGTCTCACAGCAAAATGCCACAGATGCCACAAGCAATGAGGGAGCGTGCAATTGGCATGCTGACAGCAGGAATGTCAACCAGATCTGTCGCCCGTGCATTGAATGTTCATTTCTCAACCATAAGCCGTCTTCACAGGCGTTTCAGAGAATATGGCAGCACATCCAACCGGCCTCACAACCGCAGACCTCGTGTAACCACACCAGCCCAGGACCTCCACATCCAGCAGGTTCACCTCCAAGATCGTCTGAGACCAGCCACCCAGACAGCTGCTGGAACAATTGGTTTGCACAACCAAACAATTTCTGCACAAACTGTCAGAAACCGTCTCAGGGACGCTCAACTGCATGCCCGTCGTCCTCATCGGGGTCTTGACCTGACTCCAGCTCGTCGCCGTAACAGACTTGTGTGGGCAAATGCTCACATTCGATGGCGTCTGGCACGTTGGAGAGGTGTGCGCTTCACGGATGAATCATGGTTCACATTATTCAGGGCAGATGGCAGCTGAGAATGTCCCAGTTCTTGCATGGCCAGCATACTCACCGGACATGTCACCCATTGAGCATGTTCGGGATGTGTTTGACCGGCGTATACGACAGCGTGTACCAGTTCCCACGATTATCCAACAACCTCGCACAGCCATTGAAGTGGAGTGGACCAACATTCCACAGGCCACAATTGACAATCTGATAGACTCCATGCGACGATGTGTTGCACTGCATGAGGCAAATGGTGGTCGCACCAGATACTGACCGGTTCTGGGTCCCCAGACCCCCAATAGCGCAAAAAACTGCACATTCCAGGGTGGCCTTTTGTTGTGGGCAGTCTGAGGTACACCTGTGCACTACTCATGATGTCAGATCAGCATCCTGATGTGGCACACCTGTGAGGTGGGATGGATTATCTCAATATGGCAGATGTGCCCACTACCACACATTTGGACTGATTTGTGACCACTGTTTGGGAGGGATGGTTATATTGTGTATCTGGAATGAATTTTAGGTCTCTACGTCCATCCCATGGGGAATGGGAGCAGTAACAAAGGTGTTGCGTTTATATTTTTGTTGAGTGTAAATAAAACAGGGACCAATCATTAAAAAAACTGAAAAATGACACACGGGACTCTGTCCTGTAATGTAACAGCTCCATAGGTTTGTGTTGTTGTGGCCAGTTTTAATTATTTTAGCTTCCAAATCTAATTACTGCCACACCCATGAGACCCGTCCACCATTGTTATGAAGAAGATGCTGGTCACAGGAGCTAAAAGGAATGGCAGGAAATTGAAAATGATTTGTTTTCACCATGGCTGTATAATTTAATGGCAAAGAAAGGCAAATGAGTTTATGTAAACCTGCTTGTACCTTCAGCAAAAAGAGAACGACATATCTATTAACATAGTTACTTAACCTGTGATTTTCAATTGATTCAAGCCATAGAAATGTGACGCAACTATCATTCTCTATGGGAAGAATTGAAGTTGTCACATGAGTCAACAATAATTATTGTTGACTTTTAGAATTTTGTGGTGAAAATATTCTAATTCTACTGTATTGGTGACATTTAGGTTTATTAGGTATTATTACAAGTATGTGGAGATTCTAAATGCCACATATCTGGATACATGCTCAATCATCCAGGTACGTAAATCCCAAAAGGTTGATTCTGTTCATTTGGATGTAGCGTTTTCAATGGGAGACACGTTTCATCTTTTGTCACCTTGTAAACAGTACATTTGCATAATAACTGAAACCAGCCCACTGGATGAACACTGGGCTGTGAGGTCAGTTCTCTGTACTGTTTATAAGGTTGGGGAAACCTGCAGTCAGCTGAGACTGAAGAAGTCAATTGGATGAGTGACGAAACGTTTCTCCCATTCAAAACACTATGTCCAGATGAACAGAATCAACCTTTTCGGGTAAATGCCTCATAGTTTGCATCCAAATAATGTTACATTTGACCTTTGACCTTACGTTTGCATTTCGCATGTTATATCTTTGAAGAAAGCATTGTCGAGTGAAAGAGAATGAGCTGTCTAGATACAGAAATACCGTAGTATAATATCATATAATATAATAAATATCATATAATAGGCTAAAGTTATTCATCTCCTGTTATCTATGAATCGCCTCTGTCAGTGCACCCCTGGTGGCTGTGGCTACAATGTAGCTTGCCATCACCAGTGTATGAATGTGTGTGTGAATGAGTGCATGACTGGATATGTAAAGTGCTTTGGGGTCCTTAGGGACTAGTAAAAAGCGCTATATAAATACAGGCCATTTACCATTTACCAATCAATACCTATTACACATTACCTACTCCTACATAATGTTTACAAAATACAATGTGATTCCCTTTAAAGGTAAATACTACCCAGAGAAGGAGCTGCCTTGGTGGAGGTGTGCGCTCTCAATGCTGTTTGTTGTTGTTAAGCCGTGTGACAGCTCACACTTCTACCTGCTCACATTATGTTGGTAAAAAGAGCCAAAAGGCTGGACATAATGTCAGGGTTGAAATGCAGCCTGTTAATAACAAAAGTGTGGGGCTCAGTTTACTTCACTTTTAAGTACCGTTGATAAACCAATAGAAATTTTGCATTTTCAAAGTTTCACTGCTCCATTTACAGCAATATGTTCTCATTTGCCCGTGGAACAAATCGTTAGGTCCTTTGATCTCAGCGTGATGGTTGTTATTGAGGGTTATGGCACTGTCGATATTTTTAACGCTGCTGCGCTTGTATGTGTGAATGTTTGTGCGTAAGCCTTTCAGAGGTTTTTGGGAAAGAAGGATGTTTCCCAGGAGCTGGAAGAGGTCCACATGGAGGCTCGAGCTCAGGACAAACTACACACCGTCTCTGTGTTACAGCTGCTGAAGAGCCCAGCTGTTCGCTGGCAGCTCATAACTGTCATCATCACCATGGCCTGCTATCAGCTCTGTGGCCTCAATGCAGTAAGTTTTTGATTTAACTTACCTTTCTCAGGTTTTGAGTGGAATCAGCTCCCTTTATGCTATTTCACAGTGCATTTGACTGTATTTATAGATCATTTATTATTCATTTAAATAGATTCAGATGCACCAAATCAATAATGCAAGCTCTGTGTAAATATTTCATTATAAGGACCCCACCCCAACACCATTCTGAAAGCAAACATTCAATATATCTTTAAAGATGATCTGGCACTCTTAGAGTTACACCTAGACCTTGTTAATAAGTTTGGAGCCTTGGTCCTTCCCCAGGCAGGAAGGTGATAAGTGTTACCTCTTCTACTGGAGATACTTCAACAGGAGAACTTGTCATTCTGCTCTATTCTGGCACTCTGGAGTACATTCCCAGTCGATTATGCTGTTTTCTGATTTTTATGATTTCGGCTTGGGCTAGAGAATATTGCAGTAAACACTGATGACGAATTAAAGACAAAAAAAAGGAACAGAAAATGCACGAGTAAAGTGTTCGACCACCAATTGCCGCATGAGAAAAAGGCTTCGTGATTTCTATTTGAGGGATGGAACTGCTTTCTTTAAGTGACATACTGCCTCACGAGGGCTTTTGATCACATTGGAGAAAGTTCTGTTTAACACATCAGTCCAAAAATGGGTCAGTGTCATCTTGGAAGAGATGACCCACCCATCACGGTAGAATAAAAGACAATCAATCACAACTTTGTACTGATTTGCCCTACATTCCTAGCGTGCAAGGCGACAACGCGACCAAAGTGTACCAGTAAAATTTTGTTACCTTACCTTGTTATTTAACCATTATGTGTGTCTGGTTTGGTAACAACTCCACCACTTAACCCACTGAGGTCTGTGCCTGTGCTTTCACAAGTGTGATCCTTGTATGTTTCATCACTTTTGAAGTCAAGTATTTTTTTTCTTTTTTAAATCAAGTTTTAAATCTGTCCTTTGCTTAATTACATAGTTCTTGAACTGCATTTTGTTATAAAAGTTTAAAGAGAAGGTTCAAGTGTAAATACAGAAAAAAACAAGAGCGCTTGTGCACCGTTAACCTAATTAAAGTGACTCTAGGTTTATGTACAGCGCTGTGCAGGAGACCCAGTGGCTGTGGAGAATCGCTGTGAGTCACTATATTTTGTGCACTTTGTTCAGACTAAGATGCTTAGCCATCCTTCACCTGCTGTGCTGCACTGCACTCGAGTGTCAATGATTGGTATGTCTCTGAGCTGGCTTTATAAATGCCAAGAATAGTCCTTCACCTGGAGGAAAGTTGCTGCTAATTACAGCAGACTGAGAAAAACTTACTTTAAAATTGACTTCAGACTCCCAACTCTTGAGTCACGATCGCTCAAGAGTTGGGAGTCTGAAGTCAGTTGCGTTACTATTTTTCAACAGACGGTTGAAGCTGTGTTCAGCTTCCTGCAGCTTATATCGGGGTGATCGTGGCTCAAGAGTTGGGAGTTTGCCTTGTAATCAGAAGGTTACCGGTTCGAGCCCCAGCTTGGACAGTCTCGGTCGTTGTGTCCTTGGGCAAGACACTTCACCCGTTGCCTACTGGTGGTGGTTAGAGGGCCCGGTGGCGCCAATGTCCGGCAGCCTCGCCTCTGTCAGTGCGCCCCAGGGTGGCTGTGGCTACAATGTAGCTTGCCATCACCAGTGTGTGAATGGGTGCATGACTGGATGTGTAAAGCGCTTTGGGGTCCTTAGGGACTAGTAAAGCGCTATACAAATACAGGCCATTTACCATTCACACACACATTCACACACAAATGCAAAAACACTGGCAGTTTTTAAAACTCTAGATTGTATTTTCTCACTTTGCTTCCGTTTGTTCGCACTTATTCAGCCTTCTGTAAAACACGTTCAAAGGTTTTAATGTCTTTCTTTGTGTTTTTAACAATATTAGTGCAGGTGTTAAGCTTGTTGCATTTTAATGTCAATTCATCTCATTCTAAATGTGATGAGAATGTAGGCCAACTTTAGTGACATTGTTAAAATTTGTGTGTCAGCTCTGAAGCGAACAGGATTGCTGAGTTTTGTGTAAAGATATATATAAATGAGTATGTTGTTGTGAAAACCAAGACCAATGGTACTTTTTAATTTTTTTAGATCTGGTATTATACCAATGGGATTCTTCGTGAAGCAGGCTTTACTGAGAGCATACTTCCCTACATCACACTGAGCACAGGTGCCATAGAGACTCTGGCTGCCATCATCTCAGTAAGTATGGCTATTTGATTTATTACTGTAAGTCAGCAACAGCTTTCAGGTTTACTGTCAAGTACTAGGAGTTCAAAAATGAAAAACAAGCACAGACAGGCAAAAAAAAGCTGAGTGGTCAATATAACAACCAAAAAGAAGAAGAAATAACTCACATGGAAGAGAACAACAAAAGGTGCTGCAGAGAACAAAGAGAAAGTCCTGTTAACCCTCTCAAGGCAGGCGTTGCCGATTTGCAACAGTTCAAAACTAACAACCTGCTTACCCCACATACATATTTTATGAGTGTTTTTTACTCAGAAGTACCACTGCAGGACTTGGTTGTGCATTAGCAACAAAAAGTTTAATTTGAGCCTGAGAGGGTTAAAAATGATAGAGAATCCAAAAAGAAACCAAAACTCTGGCAGCAATGACCTGGGACCTGAAGTTAGTCAACATACAAACTGAGGGAGGGGACGAGACTCTGCGCACACACACAGGACTAATGAGGTGCAGGTGGAACCAATTAGGAAGAGCAGACAATTATAAAAGCACATGAAGGCAGATAAGATATTCTTGCAAACTGGAAAACCAAGAGTAATGAAAATTCAAACCCTTATCTAAGCCAGACACCATGACCCAGAAGGCCCCTCTGCTAATGAACAGTCACAAGGCACATTTTCTGTTTGATTGTATGCTTTGGTATGTTTGACAATTCTAGGTTTACACGGGTATGTGCTATGTGAGAGAGGTTTGCTTTTATTTTGTTAGCATTGGATGATGCTTTTTGTTGTAATTTACATTCCTGCACATGCATACACACTCTGACCGGCCACTTTTTTAGGTGCAGGGTTCAGTGTATTGTGCATTCAGAGATCCTGTACTGCATAGCTGGGCTGTGACAGGTGGTTGTTTGACTTACAGTTGCTTTGCTGTCAGGTGACCACAGGCCGGCCATGCTCCTCTGACCTCTGGCATCAATAAGACATTTTTAACCAGAGAACTGAGGTGCACTGGATATTTTTCTCTTGGAAATTCTCAGTAGGTCTGCAGCTTCTGTCTGGCACAAACAACCATACCACATTCCAAGTTACTTAAATCACCTTTCTTCTCCATTCTGATGCTGAGTTTGAATTTCAGCAAGTCGATGTCTTGATGCCATTGATACCATTGATACCATTTACATGGCTAAATGCAATGAGCTGCTGCCATGTGACTGGCTGATTAGGTATTATTGAGCAGTAAAACAGGTGTATGTTATAAAGTGTGTGTGTGTATTTGTGTAAAGTCAGTTCTATACAAGTGTATTGAACAACTACTAAATATTGTCATATTTATTGATTAAATATGACTCGTGATCTCCGTGAATGAAATCTGGGTAGTGTGAAGGGCAAAGACAAATATGCAGTAGTTGACAATCCTTTAACCCAATCAACCCAATCCTTTATTGTTACTATGTTAGCATATTCTAACATATTAGCAGCTCAGCTGTACTTGGATTGCTCTCAGCCATGTCATTTCACTTGACATGCTTTTTAGTATTACTTCCTCTGGCAGTAAATCACTTTCTAAATGATGGAGCAGGGAGCACTTTGTTTGGGAAACGGCTTAATGAAGTAGTTAGTTTGTTGGAGCATCTCTCCTGGCAGCTTGTGGGCGGAGTTGTTAGTATTTGACATCATGTGATGATTTACTTGCAATAGTAACTTTGCATAATCACAGTTATGATCACATAAAGTCAAGTCAAGTCAAGTCAAGTTTATTTATAGAGCACATTTAAAAACAACCAAGGCTGACCAAAGTGCTGTACAGTAAATACAGATAAAAATACAATAGAACACAATTTCGTAAAACACCTCGCTGATCAAATAAAAAATAAATAAACAAATAAATTAAACCTTTCTAAAAGCCAATGAAAAGAGGTGAGTTTTAAGAGCAGTTTTAAAAGTTTCTAGGCTTTTGGAGAATCTGACGTGAGGAGGTAAACTGTTCCACAGTCTGGGTGCAGCCACAACAAACGCCCTCTCTCCCTTTGTCTTTAATTTATACCTGGGAACATCTAAAAGCATCAGATCGGCTGACCTCAAAGATCTCCTGGGGCGATAAGTACTAAGGAGTTCTGACAGGTAAGAAGGTGCAGTGCCATTTAAAACCTTAAAAGCCAGCAGTAAGATTTTAAAATCAATCCTAAAAGCAACTGGGAGCCAGTGGAGAGAGCAGAGAACCGGAGTGATGTGGTCTCTTTTTTTTGAACCGGTCAACAGGCGAGCGGCAGCGTTCTGCACCAGTTGAAGGCGATGTAGACAGGAACGATCTAGGCCAGCATAGAGGGAATTACAGTAGTCCAGCCGTGAAGTAATAAAAGCATGGACCACTCTTTCTAGATCGTTCCTGCAAAGGTAAGACTTGACTTTGGCTAAAATCCGTAAATGATAAAAAGATCCCTTAACTACAGAGCTGATTTGTTTATCAAGTTTAAAAGCATTGTCAAAAATAACTCCAAGACTCTTAATGGAAGAAGTGCAATCGGAGGTTAGGGGTCCCAAAAAGTCAAGAGAGAAGTTGGGATCTTTAGGAAGCCCAAACACAATGACTTCAGTTTTGCTTTCATTAAGGTGTAAGAAGTTAAGAGTCATCCAAGTCTTAATGTCAGACAAGCAGGAGAGTAGCGGCTGCAAAGAAACATTGCAGTTCAACCTCAGAGGGAGGTAGATCTGAATATCATCGGCAAAGATGTGGAAGGACACATTATGTTTACGGAGCACATCGCCCAGAGGGAGCAAGTACAGAATAAACAACAGGGGGCCTAGTATGGACCCCTGAGGTACGCCACAGGTTAAAGGAGCTCTGGGAGATGACAGTTCACCAAGGTGAACAGAAAAACTCCTATTATTCAAATAGGACTGGAAAAACTTTAAGACAGTGCCCTTTAAACCGACACAATGTTGAAGGCGGGCTAGCAGTATGTTGTGATCTACAGTGTCGAAGGCTGCTGTCAGGTCCAAGGTTACTAAGACAGCAGCACAACCAGAGTCAACAGTTAAAAGCAAATCATTAAAAACTCTCAGTAGGGCGGTTTCTGTGCTATGCCGAGCTCTAAAACCAGACTGGAACTTCTCATAGAGATTGTTGTTGTCAAGAAATAGCTGGAGCTGCGTGAGGGCGGCTCGTTCCAGTACTTTGGACAGAAAAGGGAGGTTGGAAATGGGCCTATAGTTAGAGAGTAGGGATGGATCTAGATTAGGCTTTTTAAGGAGAGGTTGAACAACAGCGTGCTTGAAAGACATAAAACCCACTAATAAGACCATCTTACAGATATTCCACTGGAGACATGTTTCAGTCAGCAGCAAATGTTAGCGTAAAGCAGCATCAGTATACAGACATTATATTTTCAGGTTGTATGTCTGTCCCACACTGGAGGATTTACTAATTAGATTTTGGAGGTCAACAGTCAAAGCCACAGACACTTGTCAAAAACTCTAAACTTCAAAAAACTATTATGGTAAAACGTCTCAGAAATGTCAAGTAGGATACAATTATATTTTATGTAAGAATATTATTCACAACTTTGAGATACATATTTTCCAGAGAAGACAAAGCAGTGTTTGATGTATTGGACTTACGTTTGCCTCCTTGGTTCCCACGATAACTAACATAACTACTTGGATGAAAATCCTCTACAGTCAGTAACTGCCTGAAGTAAAAGGCTCTACCAGGTCTTTGATGCATCTCCCTTCAGTTTCTGCTTATTTGTGGCTCGCTCTTCTTTCTCATTTGTCTTCAGTAGCTGAAAATGATGCTCTATTGGGATGAGATCACGTGACTGACTTGGCCATTAGCAATATCCCATTTCTTTGCTTTGAGAATGTCTTGGGTTGCTTTTGCAGTATGCTTTGGCTCATTTGCACTGAGAAGCATTATTGATCAGTTATGGAGCTTTTGATATTTGTTTTGCTGTTTTTAGAAATAATGAGGTCATCATGCACTTCATTTGTCATCTTTGGTCTCTCAGACCTTTTTTATGGTGCTGAGCCGGCCAGTGCATTCGTTCTTTTTAAGAACATACAGATTGTTGAATTAGCCACTCCTAAAGTTTTTGCTCTCTGATGGTTTATTTATTTTTTCAGCCAAATGATGGCCTCCCTCGCTTGCACTTTGCATCTTTTTGGACCTCATATTTAATGCGTTGAATCAACTTCTGATATGTCTGCTTCCATTGTCATGAAATCGGAAGGGAAAAGGTTTCACCTGGCCATGAAACTGCTTGTGCATCAGCCATCCTATTCATTTTAACCTTCTGAAAATGGTGACTTTGTATAAAAGCCAATATAACATTCAATGTAAAATTTTTCTAACCCTTGAATGAAAGCTGAAGGTCTGCACTTCAATCAGATCTTGTTTGTTTGATTTAAAATCCACTGTGATGGTGTGCAGAGGCAAAATTACAAAATGTGTCACTGTCCAACAGTTTAGGGACCAATCAGTAAAACTATTTTGCTGCAGTAGCAGTGATTCATGATGATGAAGGTACGCTATCGATCGAGATAACGTAACCATGTGTTACCCAATTCACACACAAAGCACAATGACAGGGTAAAAATATTTGATTTTTTATGACTGATACTAGAGCTGTATTACTGTCTCTTGAACAGTAGGAGCTGATCTACAGAGCAATACTCTCAGCTTCCCAGTGCAGGGTCCTGTTCTCACCTATGATCAGTCAGTCTTCTGGCCAGTAACCAAAGGTTATAAAGTTGGCCCAAAAAGAGTTTTCTTTTTGGGATCCGTGGACTCACTGACAGAGTAAGGAGCTTATACATAAAGCTGGAGCTCACAACTGAACAGCTGCTACTTCACACTGAGTGGGAATGCTAATGTGGTATAGACACCGGACTAGGACACTACCTGAGTTTCCAAGGGAGGTATTCTTGGCATGCTGAACTGGGTGGAGACCACAAAGCAGATCAAGTTTACATTATAGTGGTTGTCTATCTCTTCTGGCACGGGAACACTCTGGGATC